CCTGGGCGAGTGGGGCGGGGTACCTGAACCAGAAGAGGCTGCCTTGCTTGACCGTCCGGTTCAGGAGCAGCGCCTCCAGCCACTCATAGTCCCGGGTGCCTTCCAGGAAGTGCAGGTAGCGGACGTCCTGGGGACCGAGGGCAGCCAGTGGCCCAGGGGGGCTGGGAGGCCTGGCTCTGCCTCCAGCCCGCCCGCCCGCGGCTCTCAGGCCTGGTCCCCACCCCTGCCTCCCCCCTGGGAACTGAGCCTGTGTCCACCGCAGACTCCGGGCCAGGATGCTCGCCCCGTCCCACCCGTGCGCCCCCCTCCCGGGGTCTGGCTGGCCCGCCCCGCCCTCTGCTCACCTTCCCCAGGGGCGCGTGCTGGAAGCCACGGCTGCCCAGCAGGTACAGTGACTGCGTCAGGGAGAAGGCGGTGAAGCCGTAGAAGGATGTCCGCGTGCCCACGTCCTGCTCGTAGCCCTTAGTGACAGCGCCGCTCAATCTGTGCGGAAGGGCAGAGGGCAGAGGGCAGAGGGCAGACAGACCCCTGAGCGCAGAGGGAGCCGCGTGGAGGCGGGTGGAGAGGAAGGAGGGATGGGAGAGAGGTGCCCTGTACAGGCCTGGACGCCCGGCAGCGCTCCGGAGAGCCGTCTCTGCAGGGGAAGCTGGGGGGGGCCCTCACCGGAAGACGTAGTCGTGCCCGTCTATCTCCTGGCCCACGTGGGAGTCGTTCAGGATGCCCCCGTTGCCCACCACGGCGCAGCTGACGCACTGGGTGCTCCCGGCGGGGAGGCCGGCCAGGAGCAGCTGCTGCTGGGCCACCGGAGGGAAGCGGGTCACGACCTCCTGCACCACTGGAACAGGGGGGCCCTCCAGTCAGGGCCTGGGAGGGCCAGGGCGGGGCCCCCCCGGGAAGAGGCAGACCCCAGGCCCCGGGCGGAGGCGCCCCACTCACAGGAGTGGTTGAGCTCCATGAAGCCGAAGGGTGGGGCGAAGTGCTCCAGGCGCTCCCACTCGCTCTGGTTGAAGTGTCTGGAGTCCAGGAAGAGGGTGAGGTTGGGCAGGAAGAGATGCCGGAGCCAGGGCGACTTGGAGGCTCTCACCTTCACGGAGTCGGGGCAGGTCTAAATGCACGGGGGCGAGTCAGGCAGGCAGGCAGGCGGCCAGGAGGGCCATGGCTGGGCCTGGGCCGGGCGG